TCGCCCTGGGTAGAGTGCTGTGGCATCACAGCTCACAGCAACCTCCAATTCCTGGGCTTAAGTGATTCTCTTGCCTCAGCCTCCCGAGTAGCTGGGACTACATGTGCCTGCCACAAGGCCTGGCTATTTTTTTTGTTGTGGTTTGGCTGGGGCCGGGTTTGAACCTACCACCCTCAGCATATGGGGCCAGCGCCCTACTCACTGAGTCACAGGTGCCACCCAGAATCAGACCTCTTTTTATCACCCAGTTACTTAAAATCAATCATAATAGAAAATCATGTGTTAAAACCTCAGACTGCCTAAATTAAAGACCCAAGGTGAGAAGGCCCCTCTGCACAGCCCCAAAGTGGCTCACAGTCCCTAGATGAACCCTCCAGAAGTGTCTGCTACTGAGCATACGGTCCCCGCCTCCTGTGCCTTCGCTCTTGTTGTGGGCCTCTACGGTGGGGACTCACTGACAGCGCTCTTGTGTACAGTAGGGTAAGGCTATCAGCTAAGGAATCAACAGTAAGTGCCCTCACACACCACGGTCACAGCAGCGTGGTTCACAGCAGCCATAAAGTGAAAGCAACCCCTCCTCCTTCCCCTGCCACCCACCTGGGGCAGGCCAGTCAGCAGGCTGGCACGGCTGGGAGAGCAGCTGCTGACGGAGGTGAAGGCATTGCGGAAGATGAGGCTGTGACGGGCCAAGGCGTCCAGGTGAGGGGTGGAGATGGCGCTGTTATTGTATGCACCACTCTCAAAGCCTCCGTCATCCGCTGGGGAGGGTGGGAGACAGAGAGGACACAGTAGGCTGGGGTCAGGAGGGAAAGCAGGTGGGAGTGAAGGGGCCTGACACTGTGGCAAAGGCTTGAACCAGTGACGGCAAGAGGGTAAGATAGCAGGTGGGCTCCCGTACCCAGCAGGCCTGACAGGCAGGCACGACACCCCAACAGCGGACCTCCAGCAGGCCTGCTACCCAGGTGGGCACGCTACCTGACTGAGCACGTCGGCATGCTGGGGCCAAGTGCAGAGACAAAGTGCACTGCTGAGTAATCCTGGGCTCTGCACAAACGACCAAGGTGGTGGCCAGGAGAGGCATGCCCAGGGCACATCTAAGGATCTATGGGTACACACCCCTCCACCACGGCTCACTGATGTTCAGTGCCTGTCCCCAAAGGCCCAGAGACCCTGAAGATTGTCCAGGTCAACGCTTGGACCCTACATGAAGCAACCAGAGAGGTGAAGTGCAGCACTTGGGGCCACACAGCTGGGCAGTGGGGAGCAGAGACAGACTCGAGCTCCCACAACCACAGCAAGCTTCTTCCTTCTGTGGAACAGGGAACACCAAAGGTACCCCAGAAGCTGGCAGGAACCCCTGGGGCAATGCCTTGGCCAGCTCCCTCAGAGACAGTGTGGTCCTTGTGCAGAGGGAGTGCCAACCTCCAGTTAGGCCACCATCCTCCACTCTGTGGGACCCACTGGGTATGAGCCAATAGCCAGACAGGTAGAGGGTGGGGATTGCTGAGCCTGTAGGCCAGGCGGAAAGCTGCCCTTCTCCAAACCCACTCAGTGTGCATGTGGCTATGGACTGAATTGTGTCCTCCCAAAATTCTTATGTTGGAATTCTAACCTCAATGCGACTAGACCTGTTGATAGAGTAATCTAATAGGACGGTGGCCTTACAGAAAAAGTAAAAGAGCCCTCCTCCCCCATAAGAGAAAGCAGTGGGCAGGTGGCTCCGGCAGGCAGGAAGAGGACCTCATCACAGCTGGACCACGCTCTACACAGCCTCACCTCACGCCTCAGCCTCTGGAATTACTATTTTTTTTTTTGAAACAGAGCCTCAAGCTGTCGCCCTGGGTACAGTGCCGTGGCATCACAGCTCACAGCAACCTCCAACTCCTGGGCTCAAGCGATTCTCCTGCCTCCACCTCCCAAGTAGCTGGGACTACAGGTGCCCACCATAATGCCTGGCTATTTTTTGGTTGTAGTTGTTGTTGTTTGGTGGGCCTTGGCTAGATACAAACCTGCCAGCTCAGGTGTATGTGGCTGGTGCCTTAGCCCCTTAAGCCACAGGCGTGGAGCCCAGCCTCTGGAATTGTGAGAAAAAAACATCTGCTGTTTAAGCTGCCGATCTGTAGTATTAATACTTTGTTACAGCAGCCTGAGCTAAGACAGGACCTATCCAGGGCTGGAGTGCTGGGGACCCCACAGAATCTAGCATCAACCCTGGTCCTGGCAGGACTTGGGCCCAGGCGCAAATTCCCTATGACTGGCCCTGGGAGGTGAGAGGAGATGGGATTTTGTTACAATTAGCTGATCTGGGCCCAGAGACCACAAAGTTAATCAGAAAGAGAGGGCCTGGCAGGGAGCCAGACCTCAAAAGGGGAAAGAATCGGAGGCCTGGTGGTTTGGCCTGTCACTTGTCATGGGCCTGGTGGGGACTCTGGCACCCAAACTGGAAGTCTTGTGAACAGCGTGACGCTGGAGGAACTTGGGGTTTCTGAGAGGGGCTGGGGTTGGGCAAGAGGGTGATGGGATAAGAGGGTAAGAGGGCTGAACCACAGGCTCTGAGGTGCAGGAGGGAAGGGTGTTGGAGGAGAGAGCCCGGAGGGCACCCTGGCTGTGTCTCTGGGGACGCGGGCAGCGCCCCCTCACCTGGCATCCCCTCTGGGGTCTGTGGCCCCCTAAGCTCTGCCAAGCCGCCCAGTATGCTGAGCTGGGGCCCACTCGGTTACTCTGGAGGCTCTGGATTCGGTAGGGGTCAGCAGTGAGGGTGCCGACCCCTCCAGACCTGCCGCACTCATAGGAGACAGCCATGAAAAGTCTGAGGCAGTAGAGAGAGAGGACTGGGAGGGAAGGGCAGTGGGGCTGCACCGGGCGGGGCAGGGCACGCTGCTAGGGAGAGGGCGAGCGGCTGCTTCCGGGGACGACAGTAGCTGGCCGCGGGAGAGCGGTGCCCGGTTTGGCTGCACTCACCGAGGATCAGAAGCACGTTCCGGGGCCGCGCCTGGCAGAGCCCCAGGACTAGCAGCAGCGCGCAGCAGGTGGGCCCGGGGTGGCGCATGGCGGCGACTGGGAGGACAGAGCCAGGTCCGCTCCGGCTCTGGATCCTCTCTGCCTCTGGCCCCCACCCGCGGTCACATGTTCGGTAGGCCACGCCCCACGTCCTGTCCCGACCCGCCCCAGAGACTCCGAGCTGCGGCGAAGACCCCGAGCTGCGGCGCGCAGTGGGTGAGTCCGCGACCCGCGGGACAGCGAGCTGGGCCCGGGAGCCGGGGGTTGCTGGGACATGCAAGGCCTCCGAGATCGACCCGGAGGCGGGGACGTGGCGGGGGTCCAAGCGGCCCTCCGCCTTGCTTGGAGCCAGCGGGCCGCTGACCGTCAGCCGGCGTGGGGTCGCCGCCTGAGACACCGGCGTCAGGGCAAGCGTGTGGAGGTGGGGAGGTGGATTTTGTTGCGAGCAGCGAAGCGGGGGCTGGGAGAGGGGCCTGGGGAGAAGGTAGAGTGGGCGGGCTGTGCGCGCCTGGTCGCTGGAACCCTAGAGGGATGTCGCGCACCTTGGATCGGAGGCGCCTCTGACGGTCTCCCTAGAACAGACTTGGGCTGAGAATGCCACGGGTGGGGACCGAGTGAGGAGTAAAGGCGTGGCCTCAGGAGGGGACCCTGCCAGCTCTGCAGTCCGCCGTAGTGGGTGGAGCCGGCCAGGTTGCGTTCTTGGGAATCCTGGAGCCCCCTAGGACCGTCCCCCGACCCCGCTGGCAGCCCTGCGGACCCTGCTTCTCTCTGCTCTGCGCCCTTTAAATTCCCGGGGAGGAGACAGAAGGAAACATTCTCCAGGGATGAAAGTCTGAGTTTGTTCAGGTGTCTGTGGGAAACCGTTCATTAGACACTGCCGGCGGATTGATGGGGAGAAGAGAAGGCACCCAGGATTAGAGCAGGAGGGGTTCAGCCCCTTTGCACGAGTCGCTGTTTCTTTCCCAGACCAGCATGGGCACCTGGGGCCTAATCCGTCCGACTCAGACCCCCTCGAGATGGAAGAAGATAGAGCCCGGTCCGGATGCCCCAGTGTTCCTGGGTCCTCAGCAGCCCAGACCCTGACCACTCCTGTGTCACTCTTGCCCCCCAGCCCCAGCCTTGGGATGCCCTCCTCAGTGAAGGCTCTGGGTCAGCCCAGGTCCTCTAGCCCCGGCATGGTTCCCAACACCTGCTGCTGCACCTCTGCGGCCGTGCGGAGGAGGCTGCCGGTCCTGGCTTGGCTGCCCAACTACTCCCTGCAGTGGCTGAAGATGGACTTCATCGCTGGGCTCTCGGTTGGGCTCACGGTCATTCCCCAGGCACTGGCCTATGCTGAAGTGGCTGGACTCCCGCCCCAGGTGAGGTGTCTGACCCTATTGCCAGCCACGCCTCCTCCCCAGGCCTGACCCCACTCAGGCCTCAGCACCCGCACAGAAGCTAAGTGGAAATACACCTTCAGCCTTCCCAGGTTCCCAGCCCCAGGGGGCCCCGGAGACGTGTGGGTTACAGGCTGTAGTAACATGTGACTGTGTGGGCATACTCACACTTCTCTGCCTGCATGTCACAAACAGGCACCAAGCCAGTTCTGGGTTGTCCATCTGGGACCAGTGAGATGACTTGTAGCGGCATTAAGAATACTTCCTCACAGTCACAGGCTCAGCACACAGGCCCCTGTGCTCCCGGCAGACCCCACGCCCTCTCTGGCCATCAGCACCCCAGGGCCCCAGTCGGGTGCTGCTGAACCCTAATCCCTACAGGTCCTCACTAGGCTAACAGAGGGTGGTAGTACTCCCTGCCTGTGTGTGCCAGCGTGCCCAGGGACATTCGACACCCCAGGATCTCTGTGTTTGATCATGCACACAAGGGATGTGTGTGGACAGGCCTCGGGCCTCCCAGGTGCTCACCACCATCTCTCCCCACCGTCTCTCCCTGACAGTATGGCCTATACTCTGCCTTCATGGGCTGCTTTGTGTATCTCTTCTTGGGCACCTCCCGGGATGTGACCCTGGGCCCCACGGCCATCATGTCCCTCCTGGTCTCCTTCTACACCTTCCACGAACCTGCCTATGCTGTGCTGCTGGCCTTCCTGTCCGGCTGTATCCAGCTGGCCATGGGGTTCCTGCATTTGGGTAAGACTCTGCCTTCCTGCCGCAGGAGGTGGGGTTCCCCCTCTGCTCTTCCTGGGGTCCTGAGGAGAAGGGGTTCCCC